GCCCCCTAGCTTGGTAGCCATCAGTGGGCAACTCGCATACACTTATATGTGCTCCACTCTCACCACAAAGAGACCACGCAAAAAGGGTCGCTTTCCTTGAAGTGGCCGTATTCTCTACACCAGCGTTTTGTACAGCACCAGCCTCAATTCGTATAACAACATGCAGCTTTCGCATTCATTGTTTCATCCTTGTGGTACATCTGGGACTTTTATAGTTATGTACAGCTGCTTATGCTTTTCTTGTTTTTCTTTTAACATTAACGAGTGGGCGTCAACCATCAAGTCGATTAGCGCAAAGAAAAGCGCCCAAATGAAGGAGAATACGCGCATACGCTCCATGACCAGTCGTGTCCACTTGTCTTTGCTAGGCTGTTCCGAGAACCGGACAGCCCCCCCCCCCCCCCCCCCCGTTTACTTCTGTCACTATGCTGCCATTATGCTGCCATTATGTTCTGCCAGATGCTGCCATCATGTTAAAAAAAATATAGTTTCATTGGAATGGAGAAAGCAATGAATGTGATGGCAACAAATTGTAAGGCTGGCAATATCGCGTAACTCACTGGTGTAAGAGAACACAGCTGTCCCCGCAGAGTCTTGGCGTTGAGAGCGCAGCACGTAGAAGGGTTCAAGAGTTATTCATGCTGATGCCTACCGTGATCACGTATGCACAGCAATCGCACCCTTATAATCAAAGCTGATGGCCGCTCCTGGAGAAATCACAGTCTTTACGAAACCAGAACTATAACCATTTGATGAAACCAAAAAGACAATGTTTCATCGACGCTTCCAGGCCCGGTGCTTGATGGCTCTCGCACTTTGTGGCTGAATTCTAGTAGTGCAGCGCAGTAATGTGATTTTGGCGCAGCAGGTATGGTTCAGCACAAGATGGCACGTACGTGACGGCTCGAGGTGGCAGGCGAACGAAAGTGGTTGGGCTCAAGCGTCTGGTGGGATTTGCAGAGTAGTCCGCAAAGATTGAAAGATCAAGGCTGAGGGTACCAGACGAACAATCAATTAAGGCCAAGTGTGCCGAAAGGAAATCAAGGCCAAGTATGAGGTCATGAGGGCAGCAGGCTAGCACAGCAAAAAGGACCACGGCGTGACGACCGGCAATGCTGATACGAGCAATGCCCATTCCGATTACTGGTACTGTACCGCCATAGCTAACACGTATTGCCTGTGTCGTAGACAGCGTCATAATCTTTTGTATGCGGCGGCGTAGAGAAGCGCTCATAATAGGTGCGCACCTGTGTCAATAAGGGCGGTCACAGGAACATGGTCGACTTGTACTTCAAGCAGGCTCTGGTGCGTGGGAAGCGTCAGTAGAGGATTTTCGGCCGTCATTGGTATTGCAGCTTCACCAATATAAGCTGCAATATCTAGTTTTCCTGCTGCGGTCGTCCAGAGAAGCTCGGCGATAAAAGCGCCGATGTGGCAGAGAGCGGGATTGGCGATGCAGAGGCGACGAGGAGCGGGAGCTGCGGCGACCGGACGAAGGGGCGTCAGTGTAGCAGCGACCGAGCAAAGGGGTGTCAGTGGAAGGCTCGTAAGATGACGACGGATAGAAATTTAAGGGTGCGGCGACTGAACGTCGAGGGGTACGGGGATCGATACCCGGCACCTCCACCACAAAGATGTTAGGTAAAAATGACACGAGGTGTGTCTATTTAGAATCTATATTAAAACTGATGCGTATAGCATAGACTAAGATGGAGGACAGCACGCACAACCGACAGACCACTTGCTCGTTGACGTCTTCTGATATAGCGATGACACTGTGTCTGACTTCTGATGGGAAACAGTTGGCAACGCATTTTCAGTTTCTTCTTGACACGCAAGCAATTTTCGGACTATTTATTGGTAGAAAGATACACATTGAATTCGATTTTTTGTTAAGGTTCCGAATAAAGATTCGCTTTCATCTCCTTTAACTAAGTAATGCTGCCATTATCTCCCAGTGGCAAGAACAATTGAATCTACCCTCCTTGCAGAGGCACAAGGTCGTGCCGTGGGCTTATTCAGGCAGTCTGTACCTGCTTTTTGAGCAAGGCTGAACTTGTGACTTGCCCTCAGATTTGCTGAAATTATGCTCAGTCTCTGCATGTAATGCAAGTTTTTCGATTATACGACACCCGAATTACACGACAATATTGCATGGTTTTCTTAAAGTTGTATAAAGAAGGTTCTACTGTATATTTGTTCTGTACAAAACTGCAACTCTAAACACCTGCAAATGCCACCAAGAAGCAGTAAACGCCAATTAGGCCCAGCCTACTGTTTGGCACGTCGTTGAGGTAAGTTTGAACATGACATGACGATTGCGCGTCCAAAAGATCACACTCACCAAGTGCAGATGTGGAAAATTGTGCATGGCGCGGACTGAGACGAAGAAAATGAGTAGTGGGGCAGATGCACTTTGGTTTGAACTGTTCGATTGTATGCCATGTTGTGGACGGGACTGCGCTGAGCGCCAATAAAAGCTGCAGAGAGATCTTGCCTACAGCAAAGTGCGGGATACAGTCTTTAGGTTCCCTGCCGGGAAATCAGCGAGGACAGAAGTCCGCCGAGCTTGTGCAAGTCCGTGTAGTAGTAGCAAAGGCGAAAGCTCGCATTACAAATCCGAAAAGCTTTCAAATTTAGGGACGAGGTAGCAAATGCAACAACAACGACGCTTTTTTAGACAGGAAACTCAACGCGCACTTCATGAGGACGCGATTGCACATTCCACACTGAGCGTGAGCAGCCGGCAAGTGGCTGGAGCTACATCGGCGCTGCCGCAAAGGTTACTTCAACGCTCAGGCAACCACCCGCCCCGCTTCCGCACTTAGCAAGCCTGCGCAGCTGACACAGGGCTGCTCCAGTCTTTTTCTTTTCCTTGCTTCGGTTAAGGGGGGACACTGTACTTGAGACAAAATGCCAGATATTCTCACGTGTTTATAAGAAAATTCACAGAGTGATTGAGTTTTTGATGCTGATTTCGAAAATATAATTACTGTTTCTCCAAACCAGTTAGTTTTTGACGTATCCTAATATTAATTACCTATTGTTTGCCGGTATATAGACACAAGAAATTTGTATTGCAGAGCTATTATTGGCACATGCCTGTGTACTAATGAACATAAGCTACACAATGATAGGAGTGCTTTCTTTTATTTGATAACTTTAGCAAGGTTCTGCACACCTTGCTTTTCAGTGTTGCAGACACACCCACTTTATGCTCCGATTTCTAACAAAAATTAAATTTTTTGAAGATCTCGATCGAAAATTCACACCTACCATTGTGTAAACTAAAAATACAACTACATGTCACAACAAAAATCACAGTCCTAGCTGCTCTGGAGGCAGAGATATCTTTTAGACAAGTTTGCAATTGCAGCAAAATTTGAATCCTTAGAAATCATGAAAAACACAGCAAGTCCATCTTGCGCAGACAGTAGCATGGAAAAGCTGTTTATTTACAACAATTTGTTAATCCTGCTTTCTCAGTAAGCACGAGGCATGTAGTCCTTCTGTTTTGCGTCACCTAAATGGTGTTTTTAATGCCCGCTGCATGTTTTCCGCAGAGGCACACTTGCAAGCTGATGCGGTCGCCGTGTGCTCGTCTGCCGACTAGGCCGCTTATCAGTTCGGTGACACCTATGTGCGACAAATGTGCACGCGTAATCCGCGATCCGTCCTATAATAAAGCGGTTTCCCGGCTTGTTCTCATCGGTTTCAAAGCACCTCCCTGCTCCAAGAGCAGGGAGGTGTTAGTTTCCTTTTCACGTAAGATTGCCACATTATTTAATGAAGCTGTGGCGCAATATGTTCATCGTTGCGGACGCGTCGTTACAAGCACTCTATCTGTTGCCAGTAGCCTTCATTGCGCAAGCAACGAGCATGTTCACCGTAAACGGATTGATTTTCTATTGTTTGCAGACGCGAGGCGAACTCCACTCTGACGACCCGTCACGCAGTTCACGTCAGACGGGGAGAACCCACGGCATCAGCGTGTTTAGCGATAAAACTGCGCTTCTGTTCCATCGTTGCAATGATTGCTATCTCTAGTAGCTCCACTTCTGCTTTTTTACTTGCCGTCCTGAAACTGCTGAAGCTCCAAAACACTGCCGCTTTCAGTGACATTGTCGACAACCGACGGGCTCGTACGTGGGTTAGGCCTACACCGGTGACTCGGGGACAGCCGTTGAACGCCGCGAGTTCGCTATCCTCCCTGTCCTGAGTGATCGCGGGGCTCTTTCTGAAGTTTACAGCGAATGAACGATCGCCACACCCGCTTAAAAAATTAGTGCAGCGAGGAACTTCTTTACTGCGGCAGGCAGTCAAAAGCACCATGACAAAATGGTGCATGTCCTTGCGCGTCACAATGAAGAAGCAGATGCCTGCAATGCCATTTGGCCAATGGGGTGCCTAGGTTTTGTCACGTGCCCCAAGCAGCCAATAGAATCGCACGGTGGTGCTTCTCGATGACGCATTTTTGCTGAAAAACCAATGAGCAAGGCGAGCCACTGGTGGCGGAAAATTGAAGATGAAGAATGACCCTTCCAAACGAGACCAAGATGACCACGATAGCTCGTGTGTAACGGCAACGGTTTGGCCTAAAAAAAGCGCGACTTTAGCATCCATTTGGGCTCAGATTCATCTCACAGGGGTGTTATAAATTTATTTTGTGCCAGAAATAATGACGCGAGAAGCTTTAAATTTTTCAGATAAGTGCAAAAATAGTTGCAGATTCTGAAAATGTCAACATCAAACAGTCGTTTTTTTTTTTTGCAATTGTCGGCCTCTTAAGACCCATGTCCTCCCTTAATGTAAGAGGGCGTCAAATTGCAACCGTGCAAATATGGTACAGAAATACTGATTAAAGCAAATCTCAGTGTGTGCCTATTATGTGTGGAAATTTAAATATTTTCGACTTCTCGCGACCAGACTTATGGTGTGTCAATTATGCGAGAAAACAGAGTAAAAACTTAGGTAACAATTATGACAATTATGCCTCGTACCAGTGCTCGCTCGTGCTCGGTGCGCAGTTCCTGCTGTGCTTGCCGGAGACTGGCCGACCGATGCTCTAACTGGACAGTGAGTCGCGCGCACTCGGCCTCGGCCGCTTCGGCTCGCACCGCCACCAGCTCTTTCTCGCGACGCAGAAAGTTCACCACCTCGCGCAGCTGTTCCATGCTGCGGTCACCACTAACCGTGGCCGCTGCGCTATCGGCAACCGGTGCATCGGGCCACGTCTTCTGCTGCAACACGGCCACCTGCAAGCAACATGACCATGCGCAGTGAAAGAGGGCACTTGAAAACCATGCGAATGACAAGCACTGCTTCTAAATTTACAGCAAACGAAAGAAACATCGAGCACAACATACTTTATGTAAATGCGAGAGCTTCATTTAACCAAGAGAGAATATTGATACAGTAAAAGCTTGTTAACCCGGATCTCACGGGACCGGTGAACCATCAAAACAAAAGAAAAATGTACTCTGCCCAGACAAACCTTTATTTCATGAAAAATTGCGTCAACTTTGTCTACCTCATCATCGGAATGAGCGCTAGAACGATCTTTTTCAACCCCATGTGGTGGTGGTGTGCACGCTCGCTGTCACGAGAACTGATGCAGAACTCCGCGAAGACAGCGAAGGCTTCGGCGGCTTTCTGCACGGTGCGATGCCACGTCGGCTTATCTTGAATGTCATCATCGGAACTGTAACTCTGATCCTCTTCACACACTTCCAATATTATGTCATCATCACTCAGAAAACCAGCAACGGCCACACCATGATCAATGCGCACAAACACAGCCCCACAACGTAACGACGGTTTCTATGTCAAAGCGCCAACTCGCCCAACAGTCAACTCTTCTGATGTACCTGAGCTGCCACGCTATGTGCGAAGTCATCATGGAAAGAAATGAACAGCATAGGCATCGCGGACAACTGGGGTAGCGGCGGCTGTGCACCCTGTCCCGCCTTCCGCGCATGCGGTGCCATTTGCAGCGCATTTCGCAGACACTGGATGCACCGTCGACCCAAGCGCTTCCGCCGGGTGGTTACTAGCATCACCTAGACACTTCCCCACTCATTTACTATCATCATGATCATATTCTGCTGCTGTTCGTTCAGTTTTGGTTTCTCCAAACCTTCGGTTCCACCGTCGGTTACAACGGCAGAGCCGGGACTTTATGCTTTCAGTAATCGGCATCAGTTACTGAAAGCATGGAGCCCCGATAGTCCTCTCTGGAATCGTCCGAGTTAATCGGTGCAAGTCTAAATCCCTCCAAATTAACGAGCATTCAGCGCCATTGAAATATACACAGTTTGGCCGGAATCGCGCCGCGTGTCCGAGTTAACCGAATTTTCTAGTTAACGAGATCCTGATAAACGAGAGCTTTTACTGTAATAATGCTGTTATCACAATAGGCAGGCAGTACAACACTTGCCATCATTTAGTGAAAATACATCAATTGTTAAGGCGAATTCCGCTAACATCAGGTCACACAAGCCCGAGCTAACTGCTACTAGTATCGTATTTACTCGATTCTACCGCACCCTCGATTGTAACGCGCACCCGATTTCCACGACTAAAAAAAAAAAACGGAAGACATCGATTGCAACGCGCACCCATATTTCTCGCTGGCCCGCACGATCACACCACTCGAAAAAACGACTCCTTTCGGGAGCGTCTTCCATTTAAATATGAGGTACGGCGAAGCTTGTGCCGATCTGACGTGTAACAGAGCATTGCCGTCACTGTAGTTTTAACGTGGACCGATGTCAGCACGCGAAATTGCTTCGCCCCCTTCTTCTTGACAGTTGTGGTGCCAGGCATGTCGAAGCAAAGAGGCGTCTGATCGGCATTCCCGATTTGCCCAAGCAGGTAGCCGTTCTTGTGCCACAAGTTTAGGACTAACCTCCGAAAACTTTGAAGTTTTTCATCGTACTCCTCCGCAAAACTTTTCGCATATGCCCGGTCGCCTTCGAAGGGAAAAGCTTTTCCTCTTCATAAAGTTAGTTAGCTAGCACCTGCTCGCTTTAAACTGGCTCCGCATTAGCCCTTCTTCTATTCTAAGGCTAACTGCATGGCCCGCACTAGGAGCAGTTCTGTCGTCACGGGCCGCCGTGCCACTCGCTGCTCAAGCACATACTCGCCGAGCAGCTCTTTAATTTGCGGAAACCGACCTTGCTGTGGTCCACTGAAGCCTTTGCGTGAAGCTTTGCTGTCGGCAATCTCCTGCTTTTGTTTCCGCCAGTCCCGCACGCACGTTTCAGGAACTCCGAACGACTGCGATGCAGCCCGATTTACGTCCGTTTCGGCACACGCGATGACTTTTCTTTTAAAAGCGGCCCCGTGGTGCACTCGTCAAGTTTTTGGAGTCAGCCCTTCCATGCCGTCGATGCTAATGCACCCCAAGATGACAAACTCCTCAGCACACGTACGAAGTGCCGCACATGGGAAACACATAAGCAGAAACGCCATGCCGACGCACGTAGAGGGCGTCCATTTCGGAATGCCGATGGCAATAGAACGACCGTATTCTTTTTTTTTTTTTCGTACTCGATTCTAACGCGCATGCGATTTATGAACTCGCTTAACCGGGAAAAAGGTGGGCGTTAGATTCGAGTAATTACGGTAATATGAGAATAAATGTGGTAGAATAGGGAACATCTGTCTCCAATTCAGTGTTTTCTGTTCACAAAAGGGAGAAGGGCCGCGAGCAGTACAGATGCTGAGCTCTGATATTAGGCATAGACATCTATTATCATCGTCCACACTAAACAGTTGCAACATCATCTTGGAAATGCCATGCAGAAGCAAAGCTGTGTACCAGGTGCAGATTAATAGGACTAGTCATCAACCACCACAAGGCACTCCACTTATGCAAGTACGCTTCTCCTAATGAAACCATTGTGACAACATCAGAAACATTCATGGCACATAAAATGGTGTTTCTGGCAAGTTCTTTCAAGCAAGGCATTGAATCTAAAATGCATACCATAGAGCATACCTTATCTAGGCAGCTGTTGTAAAAACTGAATGCTCATTCAGCAAAGGTCTTATATTTGTGCTATATAACAACATATTTCAAGAAAATTGCCGTAGAAAATAGCAATGGGTGAATAAGGACACGAGAAGAGGACACAAAGACATTTACTATGTCCTCGTTCACTTATGTTGCAGTGCTTTTTTATGTCTTGTTCACCCAGCTGGGTGGACAAGGGCATGCTAAGTGTCCTTGTGCCACTGTGTCTTCTTTGTGTTCTCGTTCACACAGCTGTGTGAAGAAGGACACAAGATAAGACACAAGGGCACTTACAGTGTCCTTGCTCACCTATGTCGTGTGTTGTGTCTTTATTCACTCAGCTGGGTGAACCACGGGTGCAACAGCTGAAATGGAATTTGGAGCAATTTTTGGAGCCCCAAAATGTTACTTTTGGAGCACTAAAATCAAGACTACAAGAGAAAAAAAAGAGATCATTCATTTTTTATCCCGAAAGACCAAATTAGTAGCAGTACAAAGAAGTCTACCATTTAGAAAAAGGAAATGTACACAAACTATTCAAGATCACCTAAATTGTGCAAAGTGAGTATGAGCACTGTTATTTCAATAAGTTTAGTATTTTGAACTACCCCGCTGAGCAAATAATGATAAAGCTCATAGTAGCATTTGTCTTACATGTCAGATTTTTTGACAGACTCTACAAATTCAAATGTCGATCAGCCAAGCTGGCGACCTTGAAATTTGGAAGATTCGTAAAACTGAGGTACGGAGAAGGCACAAAAAAAAAAAAAAAATCTAGCGCACAGTTTCATTTCCATTTTAGGGCTGCAGAAATGTCATACAGAGCTCCAAATGATTGCCAGCGACTTTCTTCGACATTAGCACCATACTAGTACTCACAATTATGTGGCATACACACGTATGAATAATATAACCAAATGTGCTGTCTAGACTTTTGTGAATAGTCAACTTTAGGTTTGAAGCAAATTTGAAGCGAAGAGTGATTTTGGTCGAATAACTTTTAATTAAATTCAGATAGTATACATCAGTTATTATGATAAAAATGGGCACAATTTTTATGATCCAGCCAAACTGCAGAATACCTTTTTTTTTTAATTGAAACAAGGTCTGTGCAAATGCCATTATTTTTTATTCAAAAGAACTGGTAACAACTTGAATAATAGGAAGATTTGACATTTGGTAGAATGCACGTGACTACCCATAAAATATGTTACATTTTATTTTTACTATACCTAGAGCATATAAGCCAGTAAAACAAGCTTTTAAGCTTAAAAAAATGATGAATTGATGTGAGGGCAATCTTGAAGAGGGGCTTCACGAGAGTGTGGATTTCTCCTGAACTAATGTTTCTATGGCTTAGCACCCCTTAACTGCAGTGAAACAACCTTTACAGAAAGTTGCATGCAAACACACATTTAGATAGGTGCTTTCACCACTTATCAACTCTCCCCTGCAGTAAAACCACATGTATAAGTGTTATATGCGGACTAACACACATCTATTCATTCACTTCAAATACTTCAAAATTTTCAACAACTGAAATTTGAATCGAAGCGAATCAAAACACAGCAATATTCGTTCAAATGTCCCGCTTTTCCGCAAGGCAACGGTGTACCACGGCGAAGAAGACCTGAGCAGCTTTCTGCACAGCTTAGTAGAACAATGCCAAAAAATTTTCAAACCGTCACAGTGGGCTTAGTTGGGGCACAACGCTGTGGCTTGCTTGCAAGGCACGTTTGACCAGATAAAGTAATAACAAAGTGCAGCTGTTAGACCGGCAGTGGCACCGAATGACTATCGCCGGGACGACGCAACTCAAATACAGAAAAATGTTCAATGTGTTGTTGCTATGGCAACCACTGAGGTCGCCAGCAACATCGTTGTTCACAGTACATCAAATTAGATTGCACGTGAAAAAATGAGGCATACACTTCCAACTGTAGTTCCTAACACGCCATAGCCAAGTCTGCCAACTAGAAAATTCATATTTCCTGCGAGGTGATGGTGGCTATGGCAACACTTTTTTTTTCATGAAGCTGAATCGTGCAGTCGTGCTACTGATAGGTATCCGCTGCAATCAGTAGACTGATAGGAGCGCGGGGTTGTTACCTTGTCTGCATGCTCAATCGCGTCTGGCGAGTACTCTGGGCCAACAGTGTGTCTTACACCATGGTCTAGGGTTAGGGTCTGCGCGCTTGGACTGACTGATGACACCAACTGCAGGTGGCCAATGTGGCC